AAATGAGGGAATAACACAAAATAACTTAACAGAGATACAGAAGGAAGGTCAAAAGAAGAAAAGCAGTGATGCAACAAAACCAAAATATGTCCAATGATAATATATATCCATAAAGAAATAACAAATTAAAAAGTATTTTAAAAAGTTCTTAATGTCCATACACTTGAATCTGAAATATATTTCTGGCTAGTTAGACCCGTCTGAGAAATATTCTCAAATTGTGACCTGCAAAATTTTAAATATTTAATATTGAAAATTAAGTTTGTTTATTTGTTTGCTTACTTGTAAGCAGGATTATGCACTGAACTGCTCTTCATGAACCTTGGTGGAGGGATGGGACATGACCCATCAATTAGATTTTTAACAGTTTCTCAGAATTCATGGATCTAGATTTTAAGGGAACTGATATCAGATGGTGTTTCCTTTTGCTGAGAATGTGATCGAATAGTTTCACTTCACTTCCTATTTCCATTTCTTTTTCCCTTATAATCCCCTCATATACCAATACATGTATAGATTATATAGATATATACAGGATCCAGGGGATTTCAATATGCATTCTGAAGATGACTGTTGTCCTCCACACTTGATGGTTTCTAATGTTGGTCTCAGTTCATTGTTTGAATGGTACCTTGGACGTTATTCTATTGAACAGTGTGCATGTATGTGGAGGTGTGGAAAGTATTAGAAGTACTCATACACACGCAGCAGACCAGGCAGTAACCTTGACTGGGAGCCATGCAATTATCACGGAAGCCCTCAAAATGAGTCTACTACAGAAAAAATGTGGTTTCTGGGCTTTTTTTTTTCCATGTTCAGTGTTAAGTGATTTCAGTCCATTAAATTTATGCTTGTACGCTAATGTCAGGCAGTTTGACATTGGATAGTCTGTTGAAGAGCCACTGCACCATTATTGAAGTCAGACCCATTGGCAGCACCTCAATAAAACCATCCGATTAATCTCTCAGCTGGAAACAAATGAAATGGAAAATTAAAAGTGCCGCACTTAACGCTGAAAGAAAGGTAAGAGCACTAGATATCCCAGCAGTGCGAGGAAATGACAGAACTTTGGGCCTATTTCTGTCTGTGTGGCCTTGTGAAGTTGGCAGATCTAGACTAAACTGAAATTATGTCTCAGAAACGTCTCTCAGGCCTTGTTCTGTTGAGCTGAATGTGAGAGAGAGAAAGAGACCGCTATGTCTCGAAATACTGCCGCCACAAAGCCACAGGGCAGGAGGGGACACTCCGCCTCAGATTTATGGCACTGACACACGGGGTGTGTTTTTGCCTTAAAATGGCGAGGGTGAAATTAAAGGCAGGAGCTTTTGTGTAATTGCACATGGATGTGCCCACTGCCCACGGCTCTGACCCCAGCTCTGGCACTCTAATGAAGGGTTGAGAGCTCGAACAAGGCGAACCCCCGGCAAAGTAATGGCTTCACCAATGCTGGCCAAATAGATTTTGTAATGTGCTTATATAGGACTAAAGCGTAGGGCTCTTATCTTTTATTCTATCCGGCCATTCTCATTTAACCATTAGTTCTCTGCTTTGAATGAAAGGCTATAAAGTTACCAGACAAATAAACTGCATTATAGTAAATTATGAATGTCCTTGGAAGATACACGCAGCAATTTGTAAGTGTGTTCTGCTTTTATATTGCATTATGATTAATGATTAATATTTTGATTATTTTTATGCCCTGAGTCAAGGGTTGTTAGTTAAGTGATCTATATCTACAGATGATGAGCAGATCCCATACAGGTTCAATTTATTTAAATCAGATAAAAAGCCTCAAACCTTGTATCTTTAATCTTTTTCACAACATTATTTTTTATTTTCACTATCAGCATCAGACAGTGGTCGAAAGCAGAAGAGTAGATTTAATTAAGCACTTAGCTTAAAACTATGATGGATTATTTTCTCTTGCATTTTGCTTCTCTATATTTACTTTAGCTGCAAATATTTGTAAATATTGATTACCCTTTGAGTCAATAAAATTATAATTGCTTAATTAAAGATTAAAATATCCTAAAGAGCTCCAGCTTTACTACTTAATACGGTTTGTTATTTAAAGAATTCTAATGGCACACAGCAGGGATGTGCACAGACATTTTGAGGGGCCCCCCACCCCACATAGTGTAAGTTAACACATTAGAGCAGATAGGCTATAGTTCCCTGTAAACTAGTTTTAGCAGCGATATGATTTTGAAAATAAACACTTAATGACATTGTGTTCATCATGTAAAGCAAAAATTTATTGTGTGAATTCTGAAAATTCAGATTCCCTGTCACAATGTAAACATTAGTTTGGACTGTGTCATGTGAAAAGGGGCATTGCTTTGCATATTCTAAAAAACGTTTTATCACTGCATTGTTTTGCGATTAAATTTGGTCAAACATCGAGTAACTATTGGGCTACTCATATTTATAAAACCATGATAATAATAGGATTTAAGAGGACAAACGGGCAGTTGTCCAGGAAATTTTAGCTGCATGTTCCAACAGCTGCCTGATGAAGCCAAATTTAAATTCACTGGATCCAGATTTTAATTTGGATGTGCAACAAAGATCCATGAATTCAGCGAAATCAACGGAAATGTTGAAATATCTCATAATGTTGAAAAAAGGAAATTCCTGATCTGTCCTCAGCCCTCAAGAAGTTTTGTGATAATCTGTTCTGTAGTGTTTGCAAAACCTGCTGACCAACAAACAAATGCAGATGAAAACATAACCTCCATGTTGGAGGTAAATAAACAATAATGCACCATTGACTGTGAACATTCTTCTGCATGATTAGTCCTTTTAATTCTTACGTACTTCTTGCTGATTGTACTTTTCTGAATTGTATTGCAGGACGTTAACTTGTAAGAGTTGGACATTGTGGCATTGGTTACTTTTACTTCAATGAAGGATGTGAATTCCTCCTCCAACCACTAATAGTGTCACACATAAACTGTATACTGTAAAGGTTCCAGGGGCTGCAGTCGAGCAATGGAAAACTTTCCCTGCGGGATGGTTTTAGCAGCTGTGAGGCCCGGCTCCTCTGAAGGAAGGAAGGTTAGATTGTACAGTACTTTCAAATGAGGGGTTGCAGTTTGTAGGATTATACTTAAATGACAGCATCATAATAGCAGGAAGTCACACATGACGGTGCATCAATGGTTTGAGGGGGAGATGTGTAACTTTTGATGCTGTGAAAATGGCACCTACGGAGATCTGTAATCATCGTCCTGCTGACAAAGACGGCAGGGGGACCAAAGAGGGTGGTCCTGCAGAAAGTGAAAACCCTCCATGCTCCTCTTCAGTAGTCTATGAATACACACAGACAGAGACTTACTCTGACCACATATTATGGGTTTGTACTTGCTGATGGTTTCATATTTGGCCCCAAAGTTTATGTAAATGCAGATGCGAGCCCCACATCACTGTAGCTCCGTGAAAAGCCCAAGGTTTTTCCAACCATGCTCCCACTCTGTTAATCCAGCTGCCTTTACGTGGACCCGCTGTGTGATTGGTCCCAGATTCACTGTGGGCCCACAGCAACTTGGCGATTTTCCCATTGCTGCTGGCACAGGGTGACCTGCAGGAAATGACTGAGAATTGTGACTTTAACAATGCAAATGGAGCGACGCCAGGCCGTGGCTGTTTATTCGACCACACAGAACATTCATGTGGGTTAATAACCACAGACACTGGAGGAGATCTGCTATTTAATGGTTTGGTCAGCAGCACAGTACAATATGTGCTTCGTTGGAGGAAAATCGCGAGCAGCTAAATGTGTGGCACAGTAAAAAGTGAAGCAAATGAGATTCTTGATGTTTGAGTCATGTTCTTGTGCACGTTGGGGCCGTGAAGAGCACAACGCTCATGACTCAGTTATTCTGGACCTGGGTTTTGAGTTTGAAATGTTTTATTTTAGTCACATTGTGCTCACTTGGGATGAAGTCTGAAGTCCGATGGAGTCAGTTTAGACTGAACTTGGTCACATCTGTTTGAAAGAGGCGTCATCATCGGTCTCTCTGACTCTCTCAGACGATCAGAGTCCTTCTTCTCGCTGCCAGCCCTGCCCATCCTTCCTGGATATGAGGTCATGACAGGAGGACCAGAACAAAGGATGGGCTGCAGTCATCATCTTAACCTCTTATAACATAATGTATGCTCCCTCGCTCTCTCTCCCTCTCTTTGTCCCTGTGTCATGCCAGCACACAGCAGGGAAAATCAGACGTTAGAGCTGTGTTAGCATTTGCTATATGTGATCTGTATCTGCAGAGACGAGGCTTTGTCATGCTGTGACATTTGCTTGAACTTTGGATAGAATGTCACTGTGCACTAGGAGGTATTAGAGTTTTGGTCTGAGTTTTAGTTCAGCTCTGTTATCATAATTTATTCTAGCTGTTGCTTTTATTTGTGGGTTTACATTTAGTTACACACATGTAAACATTTTAAGCAATTTAAACTTAAACACATTTTTTTCTTTCAAAACTATGTGCATTATTTACTTTGACTTCTTTGTTCGGCCCCATCCACTGACATGGAGGAGGCGGATTTGGGACCTATACTGCAGCCAGCCAATGGAGGGGATTTGGTTTCCCTTTTGGGGAGCAGTCACTTCATCCATCTTTTGGTGTAAATGGTAGTTCACTTTTTTCCAGTTTCAATAAAATCTTGCAAAAACATTCAAGTAAGAAGGTGGATTGAATTAAAATATAAATGATACATTTAGGACTGTTTAATGTTTTTAAGTTCATTATCCTACATAACGCCATCAACTAAAAACACTTTTTTTTTTAAAGTAATCTATCTGTGACAAATACACATTTCCACATGTGGCTCCTGTGTTTTCGTGCATCGACCTCCAGCAGCTCCTGCAGCTTCAGCCCCTGCAGCCTCTCTGCGCTCCTCCTGTCCGGGCTGCAGCAGCAGGGAGGGAGGGGTGTGACTTCCAGACGACGGTCCAGTCTCAACTCTCAGTTTGGACATCAGAGAAAAAGATGAGGAGCTGCGCTGCTGCACCGAACCAGCGACGAGGAGTCATTTCAAAACCCTGAAGGAAAACCAAATGTTGGACAAACGCAGGATCAACTCCACGACGATGAAATGTGTGAGTTTAACTTCGAGGTGAATCTGAAGCTTTGCGGGGTAAGTTGTAGTTTGGGTTCACATTTGGGGAAAGAGGCGTCGTCAAAGAATTGATTGAGTTATAAAAATCATTTCATCGTGTATGTGTATGTGATTTCAAATTCAACTTTAGCTAAAAGTGGAAGGTGTGAACGAGCCGCTTCTTCAAGATTAATATGTAAACAAACAAACAAACAAACAAACAAACAGCATCGTCATTTGTTTTAATTGAATTAAGTTATTTCCTGCAGCTGACTTATTAAAATATAATATTTCGTTTTCTAAGGAAACAGGAAAGCAGATTAGAAGTTCTCAAATTTCCCCTAAGAGATAAAAAAGTATTCTCTGACTTCCTCTATCTATCTATCTATTTATATTTTTTGTGTAATTTCCTTTCTGAACAAGAAACCATTACAACATATCAATGAAAAATAAAATCTGATGTTAGAATCAGATTAGAAGACACTAACAGCCATGATATTGAACCCCCTGGCAGTGAGAGTGCCCCCAGGGGTCCGCAGGGCCTGGGACCCACTGAACTAGATTATTCAAATTCAATGGTCTGCATGTTATAAAACCCTTTTTTTATTTCAGTTACAATTTTGCAATACACCCGTTCACACACAATCATACAGTGCATCTATGTGCAGCACTTTCTCGATCATACACTCATACTTCACTGGTTCAGCTGTAATCCAGCTGGTGCAGATGTAATTTGGTAATTCAGAATCTTGCCCAAGGACACTTTGGCACACGGGATGAGGGAGAGTGGAACCAATCTGCTGACCTTCTGGTTAGTGGACAACCCGCTCTACCTCCTGAGCCACAGCTGCCAAAGCCTCCAATTCTTGGGCTGGGGCATCAGATGATACTGTATTATCTAAATCCATATGATCATATCATTGCTGTATTACTGATTAAATAACAACAGTATGGAAACATAAATAAAGCTGCTTTCTACACTCATGTTCCTCAGGTCTCCAACCGCAGCTGAACACGTGGATCTGCTGACGCTGGATTCCCTGCTCACCTCCACCAAGTGTCAGCCTCTGCCTCCACTGTGAAGATGATCAACCATCAGATATACCTCCACTACAACTACACAGGGAAGCTGGCCAACCGGCCCAGCATCGGCAACAGCCCGGGCACCATGGACGCCAAAACCATCGCGTTCTTGGTCGTATGCAGCTTCATCGTCCTGGAGAACCTCACCGTGCTGGTGGCCATATGGAGGAATCACAGGTTCCACAACCGCATGTACTACTTCATCGGCAACTTGGCCCTGTGCGACCTGCTGGCTGGCGTCGCCTACCTGGTGAACCTGCTGCTGTCTGGAGAGAAGACCCTGCAGCTCTCGCCCGCCCTCTGGTTTGTCAGGGAGGGCAGCATGTTCGTGGCACTGGGTGCATCCATCTTCAGCCTCCTGGCCATCGCTATAGAGAGACACCTGACTATGATTAAAATGAGGCCATATGACGCCAACAAGAACTACAGAGTGTTTCTGCTCATCGGGACCTGCTGGCTGATTGCCATATCTCTGGGAGCGTTGCCTATTCTGGGCTGGAACTGTCTGGATAACCTCCCTGACTGCTCCACAGTCCTCCCTCTCTACACCAAGAAATATGTCGCTTTCTGCATCACCGTCTTCATGGTGTTGCTCTTGGCCATGTCAGTGCTTTACGCCCGAATCTACATCCTGGTGAAGTCCAGTAGCCGAAAGGTGAGCAAGCACAGCAACTCAGAGCATGCCATGTCCCTGCTGCGCACTGTCATTATCGTGGTTGGGGTCTTCATCGCCTGCTGGACGCCCATCTTCGTCCTGCTCCTGGTGGATGTGGCGTGCGAGCAGCGCTGCCCCATCCTCTACCATGCTGACTGGTTCATCGCGGTGGCTGTGATCAACTCGGCCATGAACCCGGTGATTTACACTCTGGCTAGCCGAGAGATGAGACGGGCCTTCCTGGGTCTGGTGTGTGGCGTGTGCTACAGGAGGGAGGCGTCTACGAATGGCAGCGGGAACAGGCAGTCGCTGGAGCCCAGCCACAGCAGGAGCAAGTCATGGAGCAGCCAGAACAACCCCAACCAGAACCAGCAGGGCTCCCGACAATCGGAGGTGGAGAAGGAGCAGGAGACGGACAGGGCCCACGGCGAGGTCTCAGTGGTGGCAGGAGGGGCCACCCAGGCTGTGCATGATGGGGAAAAACTAAAAGAAGGGAGCCAGTAGAGGGTAAGGGTGGTCCTGACACAGGCTGGTGGGCCTGAGCAGTGGTCACAGTGGACAGAAGTGATGATGAAAATGGAAAAGTGTTCTGACTGATCTGGAATAAAGGATTTCTTGAAGGAAGGAAGGACTTGAGGCGTCGCTGCAGGGCAGCAGCTCCTCCTTTGTGCTTAACATTGATATATCTGCATCATCCATTATCTGAAAACTCATTGAAATGTTAGATTGATCTGTGAAGCCAACACTGTGTCAAGCACAGGTCATATTTCATCACTATTGCATGGGACTTGTGTATAGTAGTTATTTACGCAACAGACAAATCACACATTTAATTTTTTCAAACTTGAATCGTCACAAAGATAAAAGTTCTTTTCTGAGTTCATGCAAAGTTGACAGTGTTGTGATATGTTTTTTTCACAGGGCAAATTAATGGTGCTCTAATAAACACATTTGCCTCTGTGGTTACACGTGTGACCATAAGACAACTGCAGTTATTCAAATGAAAGTGCAATATAGTAGTATTATAGTCCTGCAAAAACAATGTTATGAAGAATGATTGTAGACAGTATTACAGTGTAGTGATAAGCAGTATTTATTATTCTATGCAGTCATTTACTCAGTAATACTACTGTGCAGTTGCTGTAATCAAAGCTGCATCGTAAATAGTATATGAGTTAAAAACACATGTTGAATATCTTTTATCATTATTATTATATCAGTGGCATCGTGTTTAAATGACCTGCATTAGCTGTGCAGAGAACTGATGCAGCTCATTAAACAGCAGTGGTTTTTAGAGATCGCAGAGCGCCATCTCCTGGTTAGTGATAGTAGTCCTCAGCGCTCAATAAGCTGCATGCTCAGTGTTGGATATCTTCAATCCTCATTTTAGTAACAAAGCTTTAACCGCTTCGATTGTCTTTGTGTTATTTCATCTTATTCCAGAGATGGAAATGTTTGATATCAACGATAAAAGCATGAAGCAGAAAACAAGAAGTGTTCGGGAAGCATGTGAATGCTGCATGTGGATTATAGAATTAGATGCAACGGTTTTTATGGTGCAGTAAATATGACTTTAACATGGTAAAGAAAGAAAACTAAATATACTGCAGGATAATTCACCTTGATCACCTCATGTGGACAGTAGAGGGCGCAGTTCTACCATGTTTGAGCACATGCATGCAATTGATCAACTTAAAGGTTTATCTAAACTGATTTATCATACTACAAATAAACTTTTCACTTACTTTTAATGGTATCTTCCCATGCATTTAGTTTTTTTATGTCCAATCAGCAGCCTCTATAATACAAATACTCAACAGCAGCATCTCTTTCCAGGAACAACCTCCCCGTCATTTGGAATAATTCAAATTTGATACTGTGTGCATTTTTCTTTGTAACCTTTTCAAACAAAAGTGTAGATTATCTAGAATAACAGCAACTCTTGTTGTCATCGTCATATTTCTATTTATGTCTGTTCTGCTATAGACATAAATCAGGACACGTTAAAATAAATTAAATTAAAACAATGTGCATGGCTAGATACAATGGAACTACCTGAGAAAACATGTTGTTTCATGTAATGCCATTTTAGAAGAGATTTTAGAAGGATTTGTTATGACTGTGACTAAAAACTGCTTCTACCATTAAAAGTCGAATGGATTCGTACAAAACATACCACAGAGATTCTACACATTCACGGTTTTATTGCCAACAGTCATACAGAATAATGATAAACCCATACAACCAAAAGATTAAATCTGTAAACATCATTTGGACTCGTTTCTCTTTGTTTTTATTTGAGTTTTTTCTTCTTTTTTTTAACTGTACCTGCTCCAAAATAGTGAATTTCTTGTGTGATTCCCTCTGACAAAGATTTACTCAGAATCTGGAAATGATACATTTATAATATATAATAGAGAGGGAGGGAGATAAAGAGACAGAGAGATAGAGAGAGAGAAAGGAAACAGTAGTCTCAAGCAGCAACACTCAGCAGGGCAAAACACGACCTCTAGTGAACAGGCATGCCCCATTGAAGATCAGCTATTGCACTTTGAAGAGAGAGAAAGAGAAAATAAAAACAACATTTGTACAAATAAAAGGCACATTTTCATTAACAGAAATCCGGAAAGAAGCCATGTTCTTATTTATGTCCCAGCGTGTCGGTTTGGTTCCATAATTTCTTTACACTAATTGAAGGATTCAAGTATGGAAGTTGTTCCTGCTGTCGTACATCGCACATTTTGCAGAGTGATTCAACAAATTCGCTTTTCAGACACAGATCTCGAATGAATGCATTACAATAGAATAGTGCATTAAAAAAACAAAAAACCATTTTGCACGTGATTCCATCTCCAGAGATATAAGATTTGATGACATTATGTCACAGAGATCCAGAAAAATTAAAGGTTGATGGGAGATAACTGTCAAAAAAAGAAATACTCAGTGATTCTTTGCATTCCTCTCCCTCAGAAAATATGTTATTTTTCTCACAGGACACAAGGAATCTAAAAGTCTTAATGGGCTTTAACCAAAAGTGGTGATTTTTTTTCCAATGATCCCAATACAATCCCAAAGCTCTTTGCTTAATATCTGTTTGTCGTGAGATGCATTTACTGTACAGTCCCTCTTGCAGCAAAATACAGGCACGTTATGTTACATTGCATCTGTCTTGTCAAACCCATTGAACACATGCTGATTTTGGTTCAACTGAAGTGGTCCAGTACATATCAAACACAATGCCCCATTCATTTGGTATCCATCAGTGTACTGATAATATTATAAGGATGTGAGCATTTTAAAACTGCTGTGTACGATTTCTAGCCTTTTTTTCTATACGATTGTGTATAGTGGACTTCAAAATGCAAGTTAACTGTGAGCTGTCCTCAATAAAGGTGGAGTCTGATTTTACCAATCAATACATGCTGGCCTCCTCTGCTACTAACTGATAAAAAATGGGACCTGGAGTGAGTGTGACAGACTGGGGTTGACAAGTGTTTATGTGATGACATCTAGTGGCAATAAGGCAACATTACCATAAGATATTGACATAAATGTCTATCATCATTAATATTGAGCATTTGTGTAATTAAGCCTCATTAGTATAAAGTGTAAATTACATCTCAACACATGGATCATTTGTTTGGTACTACTGACACAGATGATCTAACTGACCTAACTGACTGATTGTGCTATTCATTTGTGATCATTCAAACAATAATAATAATAATAATAAGAAGAATCTTTTAAAAATACTGTATGTGAGAATATGAAGCAATAATTTGTATTAATTGTTATCTTGGTTGCTTCTAACAGCCTGTGTACTGATGCTCCATGTAAAGAACTCTGGACAACAAACATTAGCACGTCAATTGAGAGAAATAAGAGTTGTGATATAACGATTAGCATATTGAGCTTTGATGACTTTGCAGAGCCTCTTGGTGGAAGCTACAAAAATAGTGATTGATAAAGTGGGCTGGCCAGCGAACAGCAAGGTATTACATTTCAGTCGATGTATTATCCAATAAGAATAGTTTGGTTAAATGTCACGGGCCTACTTTGTGCTAGCAAGCAAGCTAATATTGACAGTCTAATATGGTCTATCATCTCGAATAGAGTTTATGGTGAAATTCTAACTTAAGCTACGTCATCTTGCAACATGACGCCAAACTATCACAATTATTCTCTCGTCTGTCACGTCAATATTTTGGCAGATGGCGGGCATCCTCACTCGTGCCAACCAATAGTGTGCAACCACACACACAACTCTTCAACAGGATGCTGACTGATGGCCTTCAGGGTCATTACAAAAAACATTTTTGAGAATGTTACATTAAATACCTTTAAATGTTCACAAAAAGCAAGAAAACGTGAATTAAAACAAATCATTGACTACACACCTAAAAGAAGAATCCAGAGGAAACCGATTCCGAAATAATCCCTAGTTGAAAAGCATAAATATTTTACAGTGTCAGCATACACAAGCACCTCTTCCAAATAAAGGGGCATCAAGGTCTACGAACAATGTCCACAATAACAGTTGATTTGAAGTCATGCGACTGTGACACAAGAAAATACTTCATAAAAAAGATTATCTTTAAAGCCATTGACAGCACTATATGAAGGATGTCTGTTCACACCCCAAATCTGTGTCACTACTGCAAAGCAAAACACATTCATTTCTAATTCCCAATAAAAGCAGATTTCATATAGTGACTAATTGAGTGAGCTGTCACGCTGTTGGTGAGGTTAAAGGACATTTTTCTCCTAAATTCATTATAAACTGCAATTGTTGTCCAAACTGTTTTTGTTTCCGACATCTTAGCCAACGGATCCTGTAGAAATGTGGTTGTGCTTGACAGACAAAACTAAAATTTCAGGTTTTTATTCTAAAATACGCTTGTTAACACCTCTTTGAGGTTTGATTTGCTTCATCTAAACTACAAGAACTGTCTTTTTTTTAATTATCTTTTAAAACACCAAATCAAGATAGTTTGTCCAAATGCACCTATGTCTTCTCAAAAATATAGCATTTCAGTCATCACAACAAAATAACAGTTCTATAAATATTTTTTTCATCTTAAACAAATCTTGCATCTTCCAGTGCCTCCTGTAAAATAACCGCAGGCCAACTTTTCCCATAAACACCGCCACTGCGTAGAGCCTTTAAGCATCTTCTGTTCATGTGTCATCTTCAAGTTTCAGGATGTAGGAGAGACAGTTCCGAGCTTCCTGTTTACCGTCAGGCATCACAAGCATCACTGTTTCCTTCCAACAGGCTGTAGGAGACACAGTTCACTCCCGGCTGACACAATAGGCAGATTGTTGTCACGGTGATGGCCAATAAGGTGGCTAATGCTGTCAAATATGTGATCTTTTGTCCGTACCTTTGGGAAGAGAAAGACATGTTATGAGTCTTTTACTTGCATGATGAAAAAATAAATTCGTACTCACTGATAACTTAACCAATCACTCATTTCTATATCCTTTCAAACACCGCTACATGTCTTTGAACTCTGTCTTACCGTGCCCTCAGGGTCCACCAGTAGTAAGTGTTTGGCAAGTCCATTGTGCATGCCCGTCAGTACATAAGACCCAGGGTTGGTCGTGCTCTTGCGGACCAGGAAGTCCCCGTCTTCTCTCAGCAGCTTTTCAGCGTCACGGCGGCTCATTTTGCCGTGATACCATGTCTGGCCCTCCAGCTCCTCCTGCGCCCGGAAGGCCAGTGAACGCACTAGAAGAGGGCTGGAGTTATCCATGGATGCTGCCTTCTGAAGACCAGACACCTGGGACTGGGCCTGTGCCTGGCACGGGGGATGGGACTGAGACTGAATGGCATCCTCAAAGGGCTCTGTTATAGGTGGGGGCAGGGCCGAAAAATTCATTAAGCAAGGGAGGAAATATCCAGCATAGTTTTTAACTTGACATTGTACAGAAGTCAGGATTTATAAAGTATGGTGAGCCGTAACTCATCTCTTGGAAGTTCAAGGTAATCACAGGGTTGTTATTTCTTCATGATTTTGAAAAGATTGTAATTGGATAATTATTGTAATGGTCCCCTGCAGAATTGTTACACCAAGTATTGCAATGGCGTAATGTTTTGAATGAGACATCATTATGATGAAATGCATTTCACACATTCAAGAATAGACAGACTGTGTTTAAGAGTTAAACTGAATGTGAACAAAAAAGAAATTAAAAATCACAAGAAAGCTCCTGGGTCACTTCCAGGCAATTAGGGAATCTGGTGATCTCATGTTTCACAACTCAGTGCAAACAAATCCCAAAACAAACCTACCTCTCAACCTCGCCTCCATAATGAAACTGGCTCTGTGTCTTGTGGTGATTACCCTTTGGTTTACAGTTTAAAACAATCACTGCAAATACCCTGATATGACATTACAACAATCAGAGACTGTTGTTACAAAGTCCAGTACAACTGATCTGTAAACCCAGAAATATTGCTCATACTGATGAGGATGTTATGTATGGAATTAAACTGCAGTATACTTTATCAGTGGAGTGCCTAAAAGTAAATTTGTAGAACTTTAAAGAATATATATTCTCAAACTTTTACTCCATGTATGCACTCAATATTTATATAAATACGTAAGTAAATACACTTCCATATTTACCATATATGTCACTAATTATAAACTGATGACACAGTGCTGCACATGCTAAACAGTTGTTAGCCCATTACAGAGGCACCACAAACAAAGTCATCACAATATCTCGTGCTTGTCTTGAGAGGAAACTAATGCACATGAGGCAAAGACACAGAATCAAACAAGAGCTGAGTGTGAAGCCAAGAAGACAAAACCACTAAACCTGTTTAACAGTTAGTGCAAATGATAGTAGAGAAAATGCTTGGGTCTGTGACTAATCATAAAAGGTACATTTTATTTAACAGCACTATATATAATCTATTATATGGTAATTCAATGAATGGCTTATTGAATAACTTCAGAATCAATTAAAGGCTTTTTTCTGAACTGTGTTCCGCATGAAACTGCTTCAAATTTGATTGAACTTATTTTCTGGTGCTGGTGTTTGTTAGGAGAGGAACAAAGTGTTTCTGGAGGGAAATATTGAATAATTTAAATTTGATATATAACAGTTCATTCTATGAATAGTACAGTTGACTTCTCACATGTAATTTGTGTCATGCGTTCTTCATACATGCAGTATCTTCATGTAACTTATCTTTCATGTATGATAATAATAGCAAAGCTCAGGTGGAAGTTTGGAGGAGGGAAGAATAAAGTGGTGCGCCATCGACAATGGCCTCCTATTGTCCTATTGTCTTCACTGTGACATGATGTTATTATAATGCCACATCGACATCGCTGCGAAAACAAAAGCTAGGAATCCTCTTTAATTAATTGCCTTACAAAGTTCTTCTGAAGTCAAGGCACAGATACTTTGCTTCAAAAGGTGAGTTTAAAAACCGCTTTGCCAGAAATCCATTGCAGCTACACAGGGAAACAATAAAAATACACTGAATTCTGAAAAAAACAAGACTTACTCATGTCAAACAGGTCCTTCTGTGGGCTCTCTTTGGCTGCAGCTGCCATGCCCTTGGTCACATTTTCTGCCTCTGCCTGGAGGGCTGCGAGTACCTGGGCATCAATCTGCTGCGTGTTCACGTACATGGGCATCTCTGCTGTTTTCGGTGCCTGACCTTTACTCTCCGGCAGACTGCTTATGTCAAATGATCCTGGACGTTCAGAGAAACAACCACAGTCACAGGTGAAATTCTGCTAAATCAAATGTGTATGTAGCTGATGTGGCTTTTCTTACCCTGTTGTATGAATATGGGTTTTCTTTCATCTCCCCAGTTTTCTCCACAGTGCCGCCCCTGGTAATATGTCTGATCTACCGACCCTGGGCCCATCTGATGACATACAAACACACAGTGAATAGTTCTGAACTAAGAAAGTGTTTCCAAGTGGACTGTGGATAGTTTGTTTTGGATTTGTTCTGATGATGATGGATGAAATCAATCTGTATAACTTCATGTTTACTCTTCTTAGTTTGTAGAAAAAAAGCCAGTGAACACAAAGTGGACCAGAACTAAAATTAAACTGTGTCTTTGTGTTTTTCCTGATCCAGACCAGGTACCTTAAGTCCATCTATCTTACCTGGCATCCATCAGCTGCTGCATTCTGACTGGTCAGCCGGGTATCGATGAAGCCTCCAGGTGGTGGCATCTTTCCAGGGATGTTGTTATAGTACGGATGTTCTGCTGACTCCTCCTCTTCTTCTGTCCATGGTAGCTCCTCCACGTTTAATACCCTGGGAAAATAAAAAAAACATGGTATGAAAACTCAACACTACAGCCAAAGTGAGATCTTTTTGCGTGTACTCTGAGTGCATTGTGAACACTGTACCTGTCGTGTGTGGAGGACAGCTTGCTTGAGGGACACTGCAGATACTGCTGAAAGCGAAGGTCGAAGGCCTGGCCGATGGTGCTGATGACGTCCTGGGCCAGTCCGTCAGAGCACTCCAGGATGTGACACGCTGCAGAGAGTCGGAGCAACAAATTTTAATGAACATGTTGCATGTGAGATATGAGACAGTACAGGGGATTGAAGGAATTAACACGTACCTCTTCTGTTAACTGGGTCCTTTGCTACATAGGCAACGTAATCTGTTGTGTCCTGAAAGTAAAACAAATTAAATATTTTACAACTGTTGTAATAAATAACAAATCTATCACAAAACACAGATGCCAGTTAAATTGAAGCAGGTCATTGAGTCACTTACAGGGTCTCCTCCTGATGCAAAGGAGATGGACTGCATGTGATGGTTGGCTATGATCTGTGTCAGGAGTAAAATCGTAACCGTACATGTGAATTAACCAACATTTCTGGATGATTTGGTTAATCTGACATCGTTTGCTGTGAGTATCAAGACTGACAGTGGGGGAAAAGAATAACGAGTCAACCACTGACCAGAAAGAAAAACAATTCTATTTTAAATATCCGGATGGTATATCTGCTTAGACCATCAAGCTGCCAACTTCCCCTGGTTTTTCCAGTAACATCAGTAGAGGTCATGTCCTCCTGGTTGTCTTACTCTTTTTTTTCCTCTGCTCTTTCGTTACATAAGACATCTTTCTTTTTAGAAAAAATCTCATCACCTTTGCAGAAGCTAAAAATAAGATGTCCTCCATTGTGACTGTCTAATTTTAGAAACAAGTCTTCTGGTCACTTTTTCAGCTTTTTATTTTACCATTGACACAACCCATGGTACGCTGTTGAGAATATTCTGTGATCATCTTCAGTGAAGCTTTTATAAATATCTCCATTTTCCCTGATTCAGTGTTACTTGTGTACAGCAGCAGTGAATATTAAAATTATTTGGGGTGATGTTTTCAAAAGACCATCTAACACAATGTTACCATTTTCTCATACTGTCATAGTGGTATCATGAACATGTATCACATGTGTACATAGTTTTTGTTTGCAAACTGACCTGTTTGCAGTCGGGGGTCATCAGGTTGAGGCTACTGGTGGAAATGTTCAGGTTGATGGACATGCCAGCGAACTGCAGGTTGCTCTTGCCCAGGATACTTGACAGAGCTTTGGATGGTGGCTGACGAGGACATAGACAGACACAACTGAAGCCACAGCCAGCAGCTAGGTAATTTATCTTAGCATACCGATATAACAGAGGGAAACAGCTAACATGGCTATTTAGTACGCCAATAAAATCCATGTTCCAAGCTCAGTAATGTTGCATCTCATTTATTTCATTTATTAAAAATAAAAAAGTTGCGGTACTGAGTTACCTTAGTACATAGCCAGCTAAGCTAAAAACCACATCTCTGCAGTCTTATTGTTAGAAAAAATCGTACTGCAAAACTTGGTTGAAGGACATGGACCAAGAAAAGATCTTTATAGTTCAGTGTGGATTTGGACTAAAGGGATAGTGCAGGTATTTTTTCCACTTTTCTAAACATTGCAAGGTGTTTTTTTCCATTTTCAAAAACTTCCCAGGGAATAATTAAAGGATGTTCAAGATACGATTCAGACAGTGCAGATCCAAATAAAAAACTGAATGTAGTGGATTTAAATATGGTTTCATAATGGAATTTTGTCTCTTAGCGAAGGTATGCATTCAAGTGCCATTCTAGTTGTTTAAGTTATATTGATGATAGATTGGTCCAATCTAATACTGTAAAGGAGATTGTTAAAGTCTGGATACTTAAAATACTATAAATAGTGTTTTTAATAAAGAGGAGAGGCAAAACAATTTGCCAAACCCATTCAGGATTCTCAGCGTCAAGCTGAAGTGTGTTTGCCACAATAACATTATCTTACATCTCACATCTATTCTGAGGGAGAAACTAGTCGGCGCTGATTCTGTGTAATATACTCTTCCCTGACATTTGAACAAGCTCTAGAGAGCAGAGTAATGCTTCATTTCACACCCCACATTAAGACACAGTCTCCTCACACGCTGTGGACACACACCATGCACATGCACACACACACAGTAGCTCAGCCTTCTGATCACAGATATTGTGCACTACATGAGTCACTAAGAGCTGTGCACCGTGTGCAATACATCGTGGGCTGGAGCTACGCCCACGCACATACAGTCCCATACCTCTTCATCTCTCTCTTTCTCCTCCGCTTCTCTCTCTCTCTCATCCTTTCTTCCCCTCTCTATCTGTCTCCCTCTTATTTAACAGGGAGGAAGGATGAGAGAAAAATAACTTACATAGACACTGCTATATATAGAACACAGAAGGATAAATGACTTTCTAATGCTGCTTCCTCTTTTTCTATCTACTTTACATTTCACTAACATTCATTGACTCCTCACTCTCATTGCATCTTTCTATGCCTCCATCCATGTACCTTTCTCTTCCGCAGAGCTCCTTTGGTCCCTGGAACAGCCTCACACACCAGGCTGATGGCTTCCCTGGAGGGAGAGAGAGAGGTCGATGAAGCCAAGATGGTGACCACACACAGCCAAAGCGCCACAGCTATGTTGGCGTTAAATTAGACTGTGTGACGCACTTTGACAAGAAGTGCATTTTGTTGTCTTGGCAGGAGCAACACTCAAGAGTGTAGAGTCATGCTTGTGGCTCTAAGAGGCTGTAAATGTTGACCTCAGCACGCTCACAGTGACAATGTTAAACACTAATATTTAACCGGTATAATGTTTATCATGTTCACCATTTAAGGTTATTTTTATTTTCGGCCCCCTAATTTCTGAATTTTGGAGGGGGATGGTGTCAGGAAAGCAAACTGTCAGGAAAATGATTTGTGAATGTATTGATCAATTTGCTAATGCTGCAATCTGTTCCATTAAAAGACAGATTTTAATATGCCTTTCTTATAATTAGATTAATTAATATTTTAAATAGACAAATAGACAAAAAAATATTATTTATGGTTTGCCTGAACTATATAGGCTGTTACATAAGATGGCCACAGGGGGCTTGAGACACTATTTAGAATATGAGAGTATATCTGACACCATGAGGACTAGTAAAATACAATGGACCTCTAGAAACCAGCTAACTGTGTCTGCTATAGTGTTGCACATCAGATAGTGGAATCCAAAACTGTCTCTAAGATAAGTGATCCATTTTATTCTGCTGTCGCTATAAACATCCTGTCTTTTTTATATGAAAGACAAAAACATGAGGATCAAACAGTGGCTTAAAGATTCAGTTGATTTGACACAAGAAGTCAGATTTCCCTCTGAGATGAAGTGAATGTTAGTTTCATAACAGAAACAAAAATGTTAATTTGTGTATCTTCTGGATAAATCATGCAGAGCGGTGGGTTCTTTGAGAAACACATAAATCTAATAATAGCAAATGAATGAGACATAGGTTTGTCTGTTAGTTTGTCTCTCTTTCACCCTCTCTGTCTTTCACTCTGTCTCTCTTTATTAGAGACACACAAACACAAACAGTGTGAGGAATGAGAGAGAGAGAGAGAGAGAGAGAGAGAGAGAGAGAGAGAGAGAGAGAGAGAGATTGGGTCACTGTGTGTCAAGCAGAAAAGTAGACATGACACAAACTGATTCACTATCAGCCTTTGCCTCACTGCACATTGGTCAATGACTTTAAAGAGACACACGGACCCACAGATGTTTCCATGCAAACAAATTGTGATAAGAGGAAACCTATAAATTGATTAATACAGGACATATAAATAAATCCTATGATGTTTTAAATTTGGTTGAATATACAGGATTTAAAGTAAAAATAGCCTATACAAAGTTTTACAAAGCACAATTCAAAGCAATGCAACAAACTAAAACAATGACCTTAACCAAACATATAGACTGTTTTTGTCAGTAGAGAGTGAAGGAATTAAACTTAACCTCTTCATTAAATATCCCATTGACAGATTAGAATTATTACATTATTGTATTCCTGGAGGCTTAAGTTGTGCGACAGTCAACTACTTACAGTTACACTATAAGAAGTATTTTATTACTTTAAACATTATTACAGTAACAAGAAAATGTATGTTCTCAATGTTCCTATTTGTTCAGTAAAGGGATTTAGAAACTGCCAAACAAAAGTAGAGTTTGTCTTAAATTAAATCTATTAAACTGTGAAAAGTTAGAAAACTACATTCGTTGTGAACGTACCTTGTTATTTGTGACCTTGTGGTGAAATCCAATGATCTCATTGACCGAAGAACTTCTATACAGCCCAGGTACTGGAAAACAAGAGGAAATATGAATGAAATAAATATTCAAGAGGATTCCAATGTTAATATTAACATTTTCTTGTCTAGAATATCATGATGTACAGAAAAAACCCCCACAGCAGATTAGATTAATTTTTCAACTGAATCTCATTGAATTAAAACAGCTGCTAGAAAATGTTTCTGGCTTATGCACCATGCAAATATCAAAATATACATTTTGATATTTTATCACTGAATTAAATATAATCACACCAAACATATTGAGAATTCTTTTTTAAAACAATGATCTTATAAATGCATATGTAAGTTATGAAACTGAATATTAAATGTTAAATTAAAAGTAAAAAGACTTAAACCTGTATAAAACAGCAAATGTGTTTTCATAAACCTGCCGTTGTCATCTTTTTGTAGTTTCTAATTAAAAATAGAAACATCCTGTGGGAGTTCACGGAGCCAAGGTCTGACATAAAGTGGATGCAAAGTTGGGAGGAAAAAAAGTCAATGCTTGTACGTCATAATATGATTTGTAAACTGCAACAGTGTGTTACTGGGCAACATGAGATGACTGTCGTCCTCCAATCCCATAAAACCATCTTCCGCGCAGACCACCTACTCACATTACAACGCCTCTACTAATTAATATTGCACAGACTGGGAACATTTTGTGCTGATGAGTTTTTATCGTTACGAACATCGCATTCATAATCTTGCTGTAAACAAAACAGACGTCCAGACACACAAACGTTTCCATTTCAGGAAAGAAAACTTATTAAAGTCATAACTTTCACTTAAGGAGGCCTCTGCTCACCAGTGAGCGCTTTGCAAGTACCAGCAAACAAATAGCATTTTGTCAATGTGACATTTTTAATGTTCTCTATTCTTAGAACAGTGAGCATGAAGTGCACAATTCAGCAGGGTCAACAACAGTGTTAGAACTGTTAGAGACAATATTCTGATCATAACAGAGACACTTCTCTCCCGCTGTACAACACACTGACAAAGAGAAACATGATTCACAAAGAAAAAGTAAACTTCATATATAGTAGTAATAATAATAATAATAGTCAAAATCAATGGGAGGCTGCAGCTCCGAAGAACAACATTACGTTCATGGCTCAAGTGCATATAAGGTCCATAAACAAATGTGAAAAATGGCTTCCATATAATTCAGTTTCACTCTAGTCACATTTAAAACAAAACATGTCACTATGACATGACGTGTTAGGCACTTTATATGTCTCTGTACAGTTCTGCACAGTCTACAAAGTACATACTAAATATATGGAATGAAATGGGTTGATGAAATGAGTAATACAAAATGTGGAAAATCTGCACCATTACAAATGATGAACATTGATTTTAACGTGCTGTACTTACACAAACATACTAAACAATACAAATATTAACAAGATAGTTCAGTTTTTTAATATTTTTTTGACCAAATGTATAATGTATATGGGTGGAAGTTTAATTTTCAATTGCAATACGCAACTCGTTCAGCAATAAAAGGACATGCTGAGAGCAAAGCAGAGCTAAAATGAGAGTGAATATTGCTCAAACAATCAGCAGGTGTCCAAAAACACAATGATATTATATTGTATCTGCTGAATATAAACAACAGGCAATTGTTTTCAGCCTAAAAAAGTTAGCTGAGGAACCAGATATTTCCCTCAGGATACAGTGGAGACCAAAGCAGAGCGACAATGGGATTTAATATTTCACTTACATACAGCAGCTGTCCATATACTTGTCTCCAAATAAATGCTAATGTTGCTCTCTGTCAGCTGGATGTAAATAACAGGCTACTATTTGATAACAAGTTCACTATAGCATCTGCACACAATGGTATAACATCAATGTGTTCACAGCTTGTTGTGCAGCAATCAACTAGTGAAAGATTCAATGCATATAACATATTTTGATTTATTCACATTATTGAACACTTCATTTAATACCATGTATTTTAACATACATGCTCATCTGTGTATATTTTGGTATCCCAAAAAGTGGCTTGCAACATCCGACCAATAACATTATAACAAAGAGACAACCCTATCAAATATGTTCAGATCCAAATAAAGTAATGATGCTATGAAATAACATTAAGAGAATCATATACGACAAATGTACTTCAACATCTTTTGTGAATTAGAAGTTTTCATCACAAGCAAATAGTTACCATGAGCTGAAAGTGAGTGTAAACAATGTCACTGCCGATCAATGTCCCGTTACAGTAATGGCACATGATGTGCGAGGAGTGACCACATGACGCTAATTGAAAGTGCTGTGAGCAGAACACCATTTTGAACTCAATACACACAGGACTCAAACCACGGGGGGAGGCGGGGGAGAACGGACTGGACCCATTTCCCCTCTCACAGTGTGGACGCTTTCAGCAGCATTGACTGGACAAATAAGCGCTTCTCTGCCTTAATGCGGTTAATGGAATGTCACACTGGTCACAGATACTGTGGTGCTTTGTTCAGGGAAGTTGTAGTAAGTGTCATGTGATGCCAATCCCACTGGCTAACTCGATTTGGAAAATACAAAACCTGGCATCTCTGTTTACTGCACTCATTCCGCACCAAAATCTTAATTCAATTTGAAAATGGTTTGCTCCGTTTTCTTGATTCACTTCACACCTTGAGGAGCCAGGGCTCAGCATCATCACTCCTCATGCTACTGACTCATTGTCGGCATGATGACATTCACAGCTCTCGTAGTTATGCGCCAACTTGTGCTCCTTTAAATGATGTATGATGGCTGAACGGCATCGACGTGAGGTACGGAGGTGATGAGACAAACATGCTCTGTACGACTTCCATCGTTTTCACTATCGCTGAGCTGAAACAGCCATAGAGCTCATGCAGATGTACAGAAATAACACGTCACTGTGGTTAAAAAAGCATAACGCTGTGGCTCCACGTACACAAAACATATAAATGGAAATGTTTACAGCATGCTCCAAAAAAACGATGCTGATGATCGCTGTTGTTATTTTGACGTCTTGAGTTTTTCCTTCACTTTTCTCCAATGGTGACCTTCTCTGTTTTCTAAATTATTCAATGTCTGTTTTCTGTTGCTCCTCCTTTGCTCAGCCTTCTGCTGTAGCCTGCCTGCATACACCCACTCAAGGGCATGTTGTGATGATCAACATTATCTCTTCTTTAAATCAACATGCAGGTAGCTATACATGCGTCTTTTAAACAAAGGAGAGACGTGGTAAGAAAAGAGGAGGAAGAGGAGAAAAACACAAATGACAGGGTGATTAGAGACCACCAACCTTCACAATGTATGTCACCCCTGGACCAGAGATCTTCTCGCTCGAGTGTAGCCACCCTCTGGAGGGTTTGCTCACTAGTCCACCACCTCCACCTGGATTCCAGTCCTCTCCACCCGGTTGGAGCTCATCCAGCCTGCTCTTCTTGCTCATGCTGACAGCTGTCTCCGGCTGCGAGCAGGGGGTCGAATGGGAGGCCAAGCTGCACAGAGAGCCGCCCACGCCAGAGACTGCCGCCGCTGCTGTTGATGCCGCACTGGGGCTCTGGCCACCGGAGCTGCCTGGGCCCGATCCCCCACCCCCCTGCAGCTTAGACACAGCCAGGTCCTTGACAGCCGAGGGCAGACCCTTGATGCCCAGCAGGCTACCTGAGTTGCTGAATTTCAGGTTGGACACCTTGTTGATGAGGGTGCACAGGGTGCCTCCATCTTCCAGGTGGTCAGACCCGTGGCCGGTGGTGGTGCTGGAAGCAGTGGTGGTGGTGGTGGTGGTGGTGGAGGGCTGGACCTCAGTCGGGGGTGTGTAAGACGTCTCGGCTGCAGACTGGGGAGTAGCCGAGACCTTGGGATTCATGGACAGGCCGTGGAGAAGCTCATCGACAGATGTTACTGACTCATTCCTGAAGCGGTTGTATTTGGTACGGTGAAGCATACCCTTCTCTCTCTTGCTCTCTCCCCTCTCTCCACCAACCGACACGCACAGCCTGCCTCTCTCACAAGTGTGCTGGCAGACGTGGCTGAGCCGCGCTGATTACCCTCTCCTGTAACATAGCAGCAGCGGCACAGGCAGCAAACGCCTTTTAGCAATCACAGGCCACCTGACTGTAATTTTCTCTGCTGAGGTTACAGTGGCGGTTGTGTTGGACCGTGCCTCTGCTGCTGCTGCTGCTGCTGTTGTTGCTTTTGCTGCTGCTGCTGCTGCTGCTGTCACCACAGTCCAATCTGCTGTCAGTAAAATCCAGAGCTGCAATCTGATCCGTAAAAAGGAAATATACAGACACAATCCATGAAAACACAACAGTGAGGCAGAGGAAGAAAGGATGGAGAGGAGAAAAAACGGTTTCTTCCAGTGTTGTGGTGCAGCTTGTTTGGTTTCCAGTGGGGATGCTGCTGCCGCTGCCGATCTCTAGCCTCAAAAAAAAAAAATCCAAAAAGTGAGAGAACAGAGAAAGATGTTGTTGCTGATCACGGATGCTGCGAGGGAGGAGAAAAATACTCTCTACTGACTGCTGCTGCTGCTGCTGCCTGCCTGCTTGCCGGCTCAGAGCTAAAGCATGAGTCACTGATCTGAGAAAACCTTCTCAACAAAAGGCTTGCTGAACACTGCAAATCACTTCCTGTTGGAGGGAGAGGAAAAAAAACCTCCCACTTACAGCACACTAGAACCAATCAATTTTTAAATTCCCCTGTCTGATATTAATTTAATGAAATTCTTTCGCTCATATTTGTTTTACCGAGAGAGGGAAACAAAGACTGAGCGGTACCTTGATGATTTAATATAGTAAAATAAACATATAATAATTTGCATTATTTAATGTACGTCCGACAATTTATATCTTAATTAAATGGATGGGCGAACTAATAAAAGTTATGATCGGAGGTTGAAAAAGACAAAATAATAAATTAATCAAAGAATTGATAATAAATAAGGTGAAATATGTAAGTGACAGCTATAATCACAGTGACAGAAAAAACAGTCTAACAAAAAATATGAAAACTTTGATTAAACATCATTTCAGTTTATCATAATGATGTCATTTTCTCAAGAGGGTGTTAAAGAAACCTCTATAAATCATTGTAAGATGCAATAAAGTAAAATCTTAGAATGAATGGAAATTTGTAACATCATTAATATAATGTCGTTGTTAATTTTATAACAGCTGCAGAATGTAGGTATACATCACTCCTAGTTCTTAGGTTTCAAAAAATGCTCTAATAACAGCTGTTCCTGCACAACATATTTACATGCATCCAATAATGCAAGAAGAATAAATATTTCTTTAGACATAAAACTGTTATGACACCATTTATCAAACATGGACACTAAATCTCTACCAGCAACAAAGGAATGAAAAATTCAGCTCCACTAAGAGGGAGGAGAAACAGATTCACACCTTGTCTAAAATATCCAGTAGTCGGTCCTGGTTGAACAACATGAATGAAACCATCTAAAACGACACAGTACGAGCGACATGTTTCTCAGGCAGATGAGTCAATGAAACAAGCGAAAGGATAACAGATAAAGCCCAGCAGCAGCAGCAGCAGCAGCAGCAGCAGCAACGAAGCATCTTTGTCTCCGTGGTAGCAGAAAGCAGACAGCCAGACACCATTCATGTAAAAATGTCCTCAGGAGCATATAGCCAAGCTGAAAGACTGACACTCATTCATAAGCAGCTTCCGCTCTCTGCTGCAGATTTCGCACTGCAGTCCCTCCCAACATCTCTCTTTCCTGCCTGGCAAATATAGAAAAAAAAAAAGAAAAAAAGACAGCACGTCTGCCTTCTCTCCTCAGAAACAAAGGCAAACACAAAAGCAAGGGAGGAAAAAAGGGCAGGCCCTCGCAAATCAAAAGAGGAGGCAAAAGACAAAGCAGAAAAAGGGCAGAAGACGAGGAAAAACAATCATGCAATATTTAGTCTTTTATGTGAATGAAATAGCAGGCTGGCATACCAATGTTTCTGTGAATGGAAGCAAGGCCTTTCTACCTCTGCAAGGCAATCCCTAGGGATGGCATGGTCTTGTCCAATGAGGAGCCGGCTGGATGACTCATTCAGGGGAGGCTTGCAGAATAGTGGAAGAGACCATTTCTAATGCAGGTGTACGTTCTGTTTTCTCCTAAATACCCTTTAAAATGCTGCGCACATCGTCAGATTTGAGATGTTTGCGCCATTTGAAAATGATCACATGCGGTTTAAAGGATAATAAATGTGAAAAATTATCCGGGATGGAAAATAGAAAAATAGAAATGCCACCCCCGATGATTTTGACCGTTACCGTTACCATTATCAGTTTCTTTTTTTCTTTTCTTTTTTTTTTTATAATCACATTCATGTAAACAGTTAACCACCCACACATTTAATTAACAATTTACTGTTATGTGTATAAGGACAAATAGTACAAACACACAAGGACAATACATGTATTTTGCTTTTCAGAACAATATTTGTGTATAAAAAAATGCAGAATTAGTATCTAACCACAATTATTGCAACATTTTATGATTTTAAATGTGTATTTGAAGCTTGAAACATATAAAAGTTGT